AAAAGTAGTATTAGTCATCTTGGTGTAATCAGGGGTGTAAAGAATTTTATACCGGGTAAAATTGAAAAAATGCTAATAAAAAATTTCCAGTGCCCATGGACAGAAGGAGAAAAGTTTAGTTTAAATCGAGAAACTCGTGTCTGGCGTATCAAATCATAACCCTGGTATCCTTAGTAAATTTTCAGAAAAACGGATATAGTGATTCCTATATATCACCAACACTTTGTTAAAAGAGGATACTTTAACGACGGTTTCAAGGGAATTAATAATCATGCGATACATTCAGTTTTTGTTTGTTACCATGATTTGTCTCTTCTTAATCTCATTTACCAGATTTGAATATCGATAAACTACTGTCGCCTTTATTTATTACTGAAAGATACATTGAACATGCTATATATGTATCCATATCAAGTAAACTATTAAGTTCTGAAATAATGACCCATAAAGTTGATATATAACACACATGCATTAAATATATTGATTTGATATAAAGCAGTAAAAAAAACCTAAGATGACTTTGAAAAAAAGTATACATATATTTGAAAATAGAAATACTCCCAAAAGCAACCTCTTACAGTAAATTTTGGGAGATCAGCTTGTTTTATCTACTAAATTTTAAAAGAAACGAGTCTGTCCGTCTAAACGTAATGCAATAGTGATTATCAAGTTTTTTTTGGTTCACTACCATACCTGAGAATATGATTTGAAATTATGCACCGAACCCTTCCTGTTTTAATATCCATCAATGATTTCATTTACTTTGATTATCATCAGAAGTACACTTTTCCTCCGAATTTCATGAGCTGAAAGGAGTGATTTTAAAAAGGAAAATACTCTAGTAATGTTTAAATGTAATAATACTTAAAAGGCGTTCTACGTTTCAATCCTGTTTTGTATAATTATTTATTATTTTAGATTGTTCTTTGACATCGTCTCTCTAAAAAAAATAGCAATTGTGTTTTGAACACAAATTTTCATTTTGGCAAAAAATCACTTATCTCAAGTTATGATGGTTATCTTGAAATGTCTGACAGGAGTTGGTATGAAGAAAAATCTTGCAAATGAGATCAGAAAAAAATGTCCAATTATCTAAACAATTGGCTGGATTTCAGCACCGACGATGCTTTGATTTTAAAATAAAGTCGTGCATTGACTGTGTGGATTTGTATGGTAGATGATGCATGCATACATATATGCACTTTACCGGAACTACTATCTGTCGATACCTGTATTTTGGCATTGCACAAGGTCATGTTTTTCTCTGACTGTTAATGACGTCTCTACACTAAATCCATTTGATGTTGGATATGTACTGATTGATATTTCAGTCTTATATACATGAATTTATTTATTAGTTGCTATTGGCTTTGAGCTAGCTGCCAGTAACTGCGAGTACTCTCAGATCTGTACTTAGTGTCCTTTTTGTTGTCAGGGATCAGGGATGGAGAAATACCCTGCCACGTCCGCTCTGTGTTTATGATTTTGTTTTTCTGCTTTGTATCGATCTCATGAGTTAAGCCTTTTTCAACCGATTTTTATAGTTTATTCTTTAGTCGTGCTATTACACCACTGTCCTAGATTAGGGGGAGGGTTGAGCGCTCACAAACATGTTTAACCCCGCCACATTCTATATTTGCCTGTCCCAAGTCAGGAGCGTATAGTTCAGTGATTGTCGTTGATTCATGTCTGTCATATTTGGTTTTCGTAAATTGTTTTGTATAAATTAGGCCGTTAGTTTTTTCAATTGAATTTTTTCATATTTTTCATGTCGGGGCCTTTTATAGTCGACTATACGGTATGGGTTTTTCTCATTGTTGAAGGCCATACGGTTGCCTATAATTGCTAACATCCACTTTATTTGAACTTTGGTGGAAAGTTGTCTCATTGGCAATCATACCTCATCTCCTTTTTTTTTATATAAAGCAGGAGACGCTTTCCCTATCGTCACACCCAGTTTCGATCCGTTGTGAGTTCTTGCGATTGTCTCAATTTGTGTTTGTTATCTTGATCTGTCTCTTCTTAACCGATTGATGGGATTGAAAAATTGGTCAACTGCTTTCGCCTTAACACATTTGCACCGACAACGAAAGCAATGCTTGATTTAAACCTATAAGAAGTCATTTGAGCCTCCAGCACTAACAATATCATAAGTTTATAAAATAATGATTGTTCGTTTCTTTATTATATGTACTAAGTAACGCTCGTAATAAATCATGAGGAAACGGATTACCATCCTCGTACGGTCCCTTGAACTGATACATTTCTTATTAACTAATTGGTATTACTTTTAAATTTACGAATAGTTTCCTTCCTCTTTGTTCAAAAGACATGTCAAATTCACATCAATCATATTTGTTTAAGATTTTATAGATATAAGAAGATGTGGTATGAGTGCCAATGAGACAACTCTCCATCCAAGTCAAAATTTATAAAAGTAAACCATTATAGGTCAAAGTACGGTCTTCAACACGGAGCCTTGGCTCACACCGAACAGCAAAGCTAAAAAGGGCCCCAAAAATTACTAGTGTAAAACCATTCAAACGGGAAAACCAACGGTCTAATCTTTATAAAAAACGAGAAACGATAAACACTTATGAACCACATCAAATAGGACAGGTGCAAACAAATGCAGCGGGTTTTAACGTTTTAATGGTACCAAACCTTCACCCTTTTTCTGAAACAATAGTGTAACATCACAACATAGAAAGACACACTATAAAATATCAACTGAAAAAGCTTTACTCAATCAAAGGACATATTAACACCAGCGAACATACACTGAACAAATAAATTTGACCTATGATACAATGTAAATACAAAATAAATAAACTAAGGGAAGAATAATAAAAGTAACATGTTATACCGCTATGAAATGTTAAACAATTAAAGAAAAACAATATGCTCGAACAAAAATATCAGCCATTTGCAATTACTTTAAACAGAGACTAAAATCAACTAAAACACATCCCTGGGATTTAGTATTTTAACGTCATGGACAGTCAAAGAAGACATGACTTGTGCAATGCCAAAACATAAATGTATCGACAGGCAGTAGGATAGTTAGGAGTTTAACCTCTTTATAGATCAAAATGAACGTGGGTGTGTCTTTATACATCCCGTTTGAAAAGAATACAACTTTAGTTATGTTTTAAGTTGCTGATGACAAAATCGATACTAGTGCCAATGTAAACTATATTCAAAGATCTAATTACAACATTGTTAAGATAACCTTTACTAATAAGTTTGTTTAAAGGTTCGATGAGTTTACACGGATCACATAGTGATTTCCGCGCTTTAAGTACAATATTACCGTAAAATTTAGGATGTGAAATACCGTTTTTAATCAGTTTTCTACAGGTACAGCCAAATTTACTAATCAAATCTTTGTATCTATGAAAGAATTTAGTAAATGTTTTACGTAATTTATGGTAACGAAATCCCTGACTTAATAATTTACCAGTGATGCATTGATTACGTTCGTTAAAATCTATGACATCAATACACACACGGGCATAACGAACAAGTTGGGATATATAAACACCGTATGATGGAGCCAAAGGAACACCGCCGTCTAAAAAAGGAAAATTAACAATAGGGAATGAAAAGTCGTCTCTTTTGTCGTAAATTTTCGTATATTTGTATATAAATGATAAATTAACAAAAGAATTAGGTTTCCTTGTACAATATAGCTAAACAGATATTGTTTCCACCAAACAGTTATTGATATATAAACATAAATTACACACATTGTAAGACAAATTTAAAAGAAATATTCATATAAACATATATCTGAAAAATGCATGTACCAAGTCATGAATATGACAGTTTTTTACAATTCGTATCGTTGGTTGATAACGTCTAACGTTTGATTTTGTCAGTTTTTATGGACTTCACCCTTTTTGAATTTACCTTTACATTTGCTGATATTCTTTTTATTATAATTTTCCTTTTGCTTTCTTTTCCCTAAGTGTTTCTATTTAGAATATTTACATATGTTGAGAAAATAACAATCGAGTGAAATAAAAATGAGATACTCTGTAAAAGATAGGCGAAAAATACCAAAGGGATATCCAAACTCATAAGTCGAAAACAAACTGACAACGCCATGGCAAAAAAACAAAAAACGACGATAAGACAAATAAGAGTACACAAAACACAACACAGAAAACTATAGACTGAGCAACACGAACCTATAAACTTATAAAATAAATATGCTAAGTTTTTCTAAATACTATTTTATTGCGAGAGGTAATGAAGTTGATGTCCCCGATGCTCAACCATTCTATCGTGACAAGGAAATTTGTATCGTTTGTTGTACCAATAGTTGTATTTGCAACTGTCACAATTAATTGTGAAAAACTCATAAGATTATGGTAGAATAATAGTTACAAATATGGTAAGGTCCCAAATTTAGGCCGAAATGTAAGGTTGTATTATAATATACACATCTACTTAACTTATTCATTTCTGTAATTTTGAATTGCAAAGTTTCATTGCATTTTTCTATTCATTTTTCTATATTTAATACAATTACTGATTATTTGTTTTGTCTAGAATACTTCAATATCAACAATTGGAGTGTACAAACGATATAATGCATTATAAAAAGATTTGAAAGAAAATATGAATTGAAGCTTTGTTAAACCTTGACCAGTCAATGCACTTGTATACTTTTATTGTCAAAAATAATATAAGCAATTTTTATTTTTTTCTAATGCTATTTGATACATTATATTTTCCTCGTCGCAAATTGTTATAGTTCAGTTGTATTAATCCTGTATTGATAAAGCAAAGAAAGTGTTTATTGTGGATGAGTGATTAACTTCTTATAAGACATTATTTGTCTTTTGAAATCTATTTGGTATTATAGAATTTGTAAATTAATTAATGTTGTTATAACTTCAAATATAAAGCAATAGTTTCCCGTAAATTATAATAAGATTTTTTTTATCATAAGTATGTATTTGCTATTTTAACAAACATATACAATGTATAAACAACATTTCTTTATTACAATAATATTCACCTATTGACATACATGCACTTCAGTTAATAAGATATCCAGAGAAGAAGGAAAAATTCTTATACACAGTTTCTGTACCACTACCTGACCAGTGACGACATCTCACGACATCGCCCGTCATTAATTTTACCACTGCTTGCATTGATCCAGATCCATGTGCTCTCCCACGCGCAATAACGACGCTGTTTTTAATCATTTCTAAGTGTGCTCTGCTTGAACCCTCCGGTATGAATGATGCCATGAAGAAGTAAAGTCCATTGTCAGTAGCAGTGAACATTCCAGTGTGATTGTTGTACCCATTACCAATGTTTGTAATGACTCGTTCGAAGTTCAGTGTTTGTGTGGAGCTTAAAGTAATTGTGTTGGACAGCTCAGCATGAAATCCAATGTCTGTTGGTGCCACTGCTTCCTTGTTATCTATACAAAGAAAAGCAAACCCACGTAACATTTACATCAATTGTATATTTTTACATATCGACCGCCCGTAACTTGAATTTGAAAATGAAAGGGATGTAATTCCTTTAGTTATATCTGCTTACCCTTCCGGAGCACCTGAAATCATTCACCGGTGTTTGATGGGGTTTGTGTTACTCAGTCTTTCGATTTCTATGTTGTGTTTTGTATACTGTTGGTTTTTTCTTATGGTCGTTTTTTGTTTTCTCCCGTAGTATTGTCAAGTCGTTTTTGACTTATGAGGTTGAATATCACTTTGCTATCTTCCGCCTCTCTTTTATATACTATGATTCTGCAATTTTTAAAAATTAACGGAAAAAGTATCCATCAAATATGTCATTTTATCAATACATGTATATGTTAAAAAAACTTTTTTTTGTTTTGATCTTTTAGATTGCTGAAAGCAGTATTATTGTTGATTGTAGAAAAAAATGATGTTCAGTTCTGTTCGGTCACTTGTATACAATGTATGTATACCAGTATACTAAATGAATGAGACCAGACAAATGTTTTTGGGTTAGCCTAACTGTTTAATCAATGACTGCTTATATTATAAAACAATGGATAGATTTTGACAAATTTTATTAATGTAAACTCGAAATTGGTTTTATCAAAAGAAATTAAGAAAATAAAATAATTATCTATAGTTTACACTTCATATATTTCTTCAATGTAATGTAAGTTATGTATTATATCTTGTATTTTTAATATGTCAATGCAATATCATTTTATCTTTTTCGTATATAATTACCTTTCCTATCAACTTGTACAAAACGCAAGAACTTTTTGTATAAAAACAAGTGTGGACACAGATCAGTGTGGATAGTAGACAGTGTTTTCTGACAAAAAAGTGTTCTATGGGTTTTTTTCCCATAGTGTTCTATGTTAAGCTGTGTTCCATAATGACAGCCATCATTAATATCAGACCACAACCAAACACTAAAAAATTGTAGTGTCTGTTATTCAATATTTGGCTTTTATGTTCAAGATTATCACGGAGGAAACAATTTTTATACATGTTATATGGATTACCAAATGAATCTGTTTAGATATGTTCCACTATTTTGCTTTTGGATAATAAAGAAAAACTCAAAACTAGTAGAGGAACACATAAGCTGCATTTCTGCATTATATGTGATTTAAATATGCTTGTTGTCTCTTTGACGCATTCCCCGTTTCCATTATCTATTCTATAGTTGGCTGAACTGACGCTCTTTACATGAATGAGGCAGTGGCCGTTTCTGCTACTATAATGTCCCAATCGCTACGCTCGAATAGGACAAAAGTGTTGGCCACTACACTTACCAGCAGTTGATCGCTGATCCCTTCTTGCAACAAATGGTGCTGTAAACAGGATACCCGGTGCACAGTTTGAGTTAAATTTTGTTGTATTTTTATTTCTTGGTTTTCTTAATGATCTCATTCGATTTCAACGGGAATCTAGTGTACTTTTGATAGTGTTGTTATATTAGGTGTTCTTCAGCTACATTCACAGGTTAGGGTATGGGTAAGCTGGAACATAGAGTTTTACCGTCTGTTCTTAAGTTTTGCTATTACACTACAGTCTCAGGTTAGGGTAGGGTTGAGGTCTAACATAGTTATACAGTCTTTTCTTTAGTATTGCTGTTACATTACAGTTTCAGATTAGGGGAGGGTTCTGTATTGACACACATGTTAATGGTTGCCAATTGTATCGACGTCCCCAATTTTGAATTTACCTTGGAGTTCGTTATTTTTGTTAATAATTTTTCCACGTCATGTACTTGTCTGTCCATGTCCGGATCCTCTCGTTGGTAGCTGTCTGCCATATTTGTCTTTCTTTTAAATTGTTTGACTGTTCTATTGACATATAAAGGAGATGTGGTATGATTGCCAATGTTCATTGCTGTAAATTAACTGTTTATGAAATGTCGAATTGTTCGAAGCACTAAAGTTCTTTTAACTCCAGCCACAGATTGACTTCGTCGTTTTTTGCATAGCTTTTTTTTGGTTTTTAATGCAAGTGAGAGGCTTAGCTAGCTTTAAAACCAGGTTTAGTCCACCATTTTCTACATAAGAAAATGCATGTACCAAGTCAGGAATATGACAGTTATTTTCCATTCCTTTGATGTGTTTGAGCTTTTGATTTTGCCAATTGTTAAGGGACTTTCTGTTTTGAATTTTCCTTGGAGTTCGGTATTTTTGTTTTTTTACTTTTTTCTCAACTTCGTTTTTGATATGTCCTTCAAAAACCAATCTTGATTCGATGGTTGTTTTGTCGATCAAACGCGCGTCAGTATTTACAAAGTATAAGGTATCAGCTTAAACTAGTTTTTAAAATCAGTCAAGTAATCAAGACTTTTGTGTTGACATGAAAAAAATCATTGATATATGCATTTGCTGTAAATCTACTGTTAATGAAATGTTGAATTATTCGAATGATTCGGTGTTTCTACCATAAACCATAGATTACTCAGTCTTATAAAGCACTCGTCATCGGAATTTACGGTTTCCAGTGATCTTCGACTATTCTTATTAGATTTGGTCTTTAAGCTGTTTTGTTTGATCGCCACCGAAGAGTCTTATGTTAACGAAACGTGCGTCTGGCGTACCAATATATAAGCCTAGTAACTTTGATGAGTGTTTAGCAGAAGTCAGATCGTGTAAATTGTTTTATATTTTGTCATAACGGCACTTTGTTGCGTACTATATGGCGTGACTCATTGTTGGTGGATAGTTGTCTCATTGGCAACCAAAACCATGTCATTATTTTCATCATCTTGGAATAGATGACGTTAACACACATTCAACTGGTTTTGTTAGAATCGCATATGGTGGAAGGTACATGGTACAACTTGAACCACGTGGATTGATAAACATTTTCACTTTTTTCTGTAACAATTTCGTAATTGGAATATACCATCTGCAATTGGATTATACATATTTTGTGGATGACTTTTCTTAATTTTGTACTACCAGTGGTCGTAGAGTTATAAAAAAAATGATGAAGTTTTCAAATCAATAACGTCTTAACGGGAGGAAGTGACACTAACATTTTATTTCCATTGATTGATCATTTTTCTTTTTTTTAATTCATTCATTTTAAGTATGTTCTTTTATCCAGACGTTTAACCTTAGTAACCTAAGTCTAAAAGGGGGATATTTATGGATAAACAGTAACTATTCTCCTTTTTAGGCCCCACATTTCAAAGCAGGTGCTATATAGTCATGGGGGAGTCTGTCCGTCTTTTTCCGTCTGTTCATTAGTTCTTTTGTCCCACTTTTATAGTCGTTACTGCTCCTGAACCGAGTGACAGACCTTTAAGTTTCGTGCTACATTTTTCGTTATTTACATTCATCAGGAACGCTCAAACCTAAACAAATAAATGTTAAAAATAAGAATAAAGAAATTTATATTTTCATAATTTTTTTTAATAAAAGCTTAACTAGATTTAACTCCGTCAGAAAAACTCAAACTTAACATTTGAAAGTCAAAGATGAGTAAATACACTGAAACGTTAGGAGTTATCTGACCAAAAAGGACAGAATAACTAATTTCATCTCAGGTCAACTTTGCCTAAGGGAATTAACACATAAGTTTCTTAATGATTTCATGAACGGTGAATTTCAAATAGGTGTTCATTATAAATTATGCCAGTACCGAAGTACTGCCTCCAGAACTGATGATACCTTCGGGGGCTTACAGTACACCAGGAGCGGATCGAGCCAGTGCTAGTACATGAAATAAACACATTATAGATCCTGTGCGTTTGAATAGCTTTTCTGGATTTACCTTCATTAGGAACGCTACCGCTCAAACTTAACAATTTGAAAGCCAGGGATGCATAAATACGCTGAAAGGTTAGAAGCAATAAATGATCAAAAAAGACCCAAACAGATTAATATAATTCATCTAAAGTCAACTTTGCCTGAGGGAGTTGAAACCTAAGTTTCTTAATGATTTCTTAATTTATGAACGGAGAATCGTAAACAAAGATATTTTATAAATCAAGCCAGTATCGAAGTACTGACTACTGAGCTGATGATACCCTCGGGGACTAACAGTCTACCAGACGCAGGATCGACTTAGTGCTAATAAATGAAATACACACTAATTTACCCATATAGCTCCTAACGTTTCAGCATATTTACGCATCCCTGTTTTTCAAATGTGTAAGTTTAATTATGAATTTTGTAGTTATTCAAGAGTGTTGAATAATGTACTTGACTGCCACACTTACTTACGGGCTGACAACTTCACATTCATCGTTACCTGATATTATCTTTGATTCATTGACCAATCTCGCTTCTAACATTTTCAGTTTCTCTTCCATATGACTATCCATCCTTTTGATAACATCAGCAAGTTTTTCCTGTGTTAAATTTGATACAAGAACCTTCACTGCAGTTTCAATTCCTTTCTTTATTTCGTCATCGATGTATATTTTCAACCGCGAAGAAAACTTTGAAAAATCCAGATTGGCTACTAACGGTGCATTCATGTTATCCAGTAACGGAAAATGTACACTGTCACACAGTTTATCATCACAACTTTGTCCCATTCCTCTACTCGATACAAAGAAAATCATGTAATATACCATGATAATTAATTTTCTGTCTGCCATGTTTGCATTTATTAGAAGTTTTCTAATCGATTCTCTGTCTGAAAACCTATCCGACAGTTGTCACAGAACAAAGAATCAAAAGTCTGTGAGCATGTTGTTTATGCTTTTAAATAATGTAAAAAAAAAACCAACACTTACACATAGAAAATAGATTTGAAAACTCTTATTTGAACTGATATCAAACTGTTTATATATACTAATCAGCGTTTAAATATATCAAAATTTGAAATCGATTTGGTTATTCAAACATTTCGGAGTAAAGGGTGAGCAAATACCGGCTTTGAAACCCCTAGCCATTGATGAATCCAAAGGGAGAGGTTACGTGATCGAGCCCCCTAGTAAACTTCACTATGTTTTGGTATTTTATGGATCAACTCGTAAAAAAACCGTTATATTTATCACCTGAATTCAATCACGTTATTCCCAAACTTTTCGGGGAGGTTTGAGTGCTAACCAAAATGATTATTGATGCAGTGCCCTAAGGAACAGTTCTGTTAAAATTCGAATTGACCCTCAAAACATGATACCCTAAAGGACAATACATCCATATACAATAAACGATGAAAGTATCATGAATGCAAAAGCGATGACTGATTTGTGTCACACGAACGATGAACTCAAGTTTAATGTGAATTTATAATATATTTAAAAAAGCTTGGAAAATGTAAAATGTTTCAACGAGCTTGATTTTCCAATACCTGAGAGTGTTATTGCAGATGCCATAATAAAGATTAAAAAGAACAAATCTCCAGGTTTGGATAAAATCACAAATAACATGATAAAATGTAGTCAGTCAGCTCTCTTAAAATGTTTTAAGAAGCTATTTAATGCCTATATAAGCTCAGGAATATACCCTACAAGCTGGGCAGAGGGTTACATAACACCATTACATAAAGCACATGATATTCATGATCCGAACAACTATCGTGGATTGACAATTACAAGCTCGATAGGCAAACTATTTAATTGTGTTTTAAATTCACGTCTTGACAAATTTTTAATTAAATTTAATATTATAGATGAGTGTCAAATTGGTTTTAAAAAGAAAGCAAGAACTTCTGACCATATGTTTGTTTTGAAAACCATTATTGATAAGTATTGTAGTTCAGGTAATGGAAGACTGTATGCCTGCTTTGTTGATTTTCAAAAAGCATATGACACTGGTATTAAATTGAAACTCTTGGAAATAGGTGTCGGATCTCTATTCTATAACATTGTAAAGAAAATGTATGCATTGAGCAATCATGCATAAAGATAAATAATAACTTAACAGAAAGTTATGGTGTCAAGCGTGGTGTTAAACAAGGCGATAACCATAGTCCTAATCTTTTTAATATTTTTATTAATGATTTACCAAAATACCTGCAGACTATTGATGATACTATAAGCTTGAACAACCGTTCTGTTCATTGTTTAATGTATGCAGACGACATTATTTTACTATCAAGTTCTCCGGAAGGACTTCAAAAGAAACTTGATTTACTTGATCAATATTGTAATGATTGGTGTCTTAATGTAAATACAAAAAAACCAAAAGTATTGATATTCAACAAGGCAGGCTTACATATCCATCATATATTTAAGATTAAAAATGTGTTGCTTGAATGTGTAAATAGATACAAATATCTTGGTATTCACTTCCGTGCATCAGGATCATTTTCCACATGAGGAAATGCCTGTACCAAGTAGGAATATGACAGTTGTTTTCCATTCGTTTGTAGTGTTTGAGCTTTTGATTTTGCCATTTGTTAAAGGACTTTCCGTTTTGAATTTTCCTTGGAGTTCGGTATTTTTGTTACTTTACTTTTTATGTAATTACATTTTTTGTACATCAAATTCAAACATTATGTTAAATCACATTAAACAAAATATAAATAAAAGAAAGCTTACATTTATCAAAACACCTCATTTGTACATGAAGACACACAATTTTATGTTCAACAGGTGTTCAAAATTACTGTTTGATTGTTAGCCTGAGGGATTATGAATATACAAATCAAAGTATCAAACAAAATTTGAGGGAATCGTTAGTTTCATATTATTTATTACAAGTTTCCATGCTTATATTGGGACATTGTGCATGATCTTTTCTCAGACTACCTATGACGTTTTTACATTAAATTAAAATGAACTGTAAATAATGATTGAACTAGCCTTCAGTATTCCGAGTACTCTCGATAGATTTTTTGAATTTTTGGGTTTATATTGTTGTGCTAATTTCCGATGTGATGAGTCAAGCCCTTTCCCACTGATTTTAATTGTTTGGTTATTTTGTATTGACTCAAAACCAGAAACCTGTAATCTAGTGGTTTACTTGTCTTGCGTCATGTTGTATTAGTCATGACGTTGATTTATCTTTTTTGGAATTATTTCATATTTTGTCATACAAGGGCATTTGGTAGTTAAATCTATGATATGGGTTTTACTTATTTTGTAAGGCCTTATGATAACCTGTAACTTTTCACATTTTTGTCCTTTGGTCTATGGATTGTTTTCGTGGCCGGACAGAAGATGTTGTACCCAGGTTTTATTGACAAAAAAAATAAACGAATATGCATTTCAAATCTATTTACAATAGTATGACTGAGAAATAAATTTTAACAGTACTTCCTCCCGTGTTTTTAACGGTAGGAAGAATCCGGTATCATCAATGTAATGAATAAAACTTTACGTTCCTTCATATTTTATATCTCATTTTTTCAAATATTTTGATGTATATCTTTTATCATAATAAAGCTTCACACATTCCTGTCGATTTCTTTGTAAAAGATGCAATAGTTGTCGATACTTTTATTGTTCTTCCTTTATGAATATACCCAAAAAGTAGAGCAGTTCCGATATTGTAATCCATTTGACGTTTTCTCCTGAAAGTTTGATACGCATTAGAGAGGTTCCGAGAAAAAAGACATTTGCACGAAAGACGAGAGATAACTAAGATGGCGGAATTAGATAACGCAACCTTATCGGATCAGCAGGAATTGAACGAAGTATTATCGATGTTGCAGAAAATTTTAGTACTAAATTTTCACGGAGTTATTGCTTTAATATGGAGGAATATCATCTGTCGCTCTATATCATTGGTGAGGTAGACTTGTGCTAATTTAGGCGGTTTTATTTCTCAATTTTGAATTGAACTTTTGATATATTTTAAAACTTCAATTACAAATGTATGCAGAAATAACGATAGTCGCATGCGATACACCTTTTAATTGTGAATGCTTATACCTTGCGCAGATTTTATGGGGTAATTGACTATTGCAATTGTTAACCAAGACAGTATATCATATTGCACGAGTGTGCGATTATAACAATTGCATAATATAGTACCAATTTTTCCAACAGTGATGATACTTTATCCACTTTCTAAAGCACTGTTGCCTAAGGTAATAACGCAATGTACATTTCCGCCATCTTATTCATCTCTCGCTTGCTTGCGTGCAAATATCGTTTTACTCGGAACTTCATTATTCCTTACAGAATTACAGAAAGTATGGAATGTAATATCGGTGAGGATGCACTATTTTTAACTAATCGGCAATGCTCTACTTTTAAGGTGTATATATAAAAGAAAAAAGCAAAGATATCGTCAAATATTGAATTTTCATTTAAAAAACTCTACATGGAATAGTTGATACTATGTGATAAATCATAGTATACGCTATTCACTGCCTCATATGAAAAATTCACCCACAATATCTCACAATGAAAAAGATATTTTGCTAATCAGTATGTAGTTCTACCTAGATAGATTGATAGTTATCATGAAAGTGGCACACGATTAATAAAGATCTTCATAATAAATTATGGATTATTGAAATATACGCGATGAATGAAGAGAGCACAGTATAAAATAAACGCGGAAAGAAAGAACGTTGCACAGAACACATACATGTAGAACGATGAACACTAATGCAGTTGAATGATACGTCGAATAGATAATAAATGAATAAAACGAGAACGTAGAACGAACAATGAAAGACAAATGCAGGAAAAATCAGTTTGACTACACCTTGGCAAAAATTAATAATGTAGAAAAGACAAAAATCCACAGAACACTACATAAAAGTTAAAGACTAAACAACCAGAAATCACTAAAAAAAACTGGAGTGATTTCAGGTGTTCCTGCTTCACTTGTGGCACCCGTCTTGTTGCTCATGGTTATAACACTGATTCGATGATAAGTTGCATTCGAGGTATAAAAGTTGGGGAAAAGAGGACACGATTGCGGATACGCTAATTTGAACAAATCCGTAAACATTTACGACACACAAAAACCATGAAGGTCAAGTAAATCGTGATGACGTTCGTAAAATGTTTTAAGGATGACCTAACATTTACCAATTGGAGCCCAAAAAGTTAGATTTAACACTATATACTCTGATTTTTAATTCTATCAAAACAATGAAAATCAGGACACTGTCATACTGATTGTTGTCGTAGTTTTTATGGGTAAGAGACTTAGTTACCACAACATGTGAACCTAGTCATAACATAAATGAAATCTTCACTTATTTGAAAGTGAATATAATATTTTGCTATTTTTGGTAAGAGAAGCAGAAGGCATATCAAATGAACCAAGCATATCGTTATTCCGTCTATAAATTGCGAAGCTCCTCTATATTTCAAAAATTCTAAATTCACATGCGAAGAAAATCCAGAAGTTTCATTCTATTTAAAAGAAGTATAGAATTTTTTCATTTTTAAAGCTATTAGCATTCTTTATTTCATTTGGAGAAATTTGTTTTCTAAAGCAATTTATGCTATCAGTTTGTCTGAAAGCGGAAACTTTAATTACACCGAGGACGCCATAAAGCGATAACATCATGTACCCACAAGCTTACCTTCCAACAACGTCTTAAAACGGAAAACGCTTTATAGATATAAGTGTGCTTTTGACTTTTGTCAGCTGAATTGTCTTTTGTCTGTAATAGTTTAGAGGTTTTCAAAGCAATATTAATTAGTGCTATTCGCAACTCCCTTGAATTCATCATATCTAATATATACCAA